CGCCCATATTTTAGAACCACGCCCACTTTTGCGAAACTACATCCCAAATTGTAACTCAATTAACAGTTAACCAAACTTCGAGTTACGGGCAACAACAATTATTACTGCTGTTTAACGTCCACATTTGGTAACTTACTTTAATTAACAGTTAAAAGAGCTGTGGTCGTCGTTCGAATTTCATGTAAACAAACAATGCATTTTACACGCGTTGTATACTATACGTCGCTATGACTCTCACATCAGAATAGGACGCGGCACGACGACTGCCGCCCTTTAACCGAACTTCGAGTTACGAGCACAGGCGCCTGTGGTTACGAGGCAACATATATTCAGTTAACTTTTATTTTACATTCTAGATACTAAATTTGAACGTTAAACTAAAAAAAAATCTATGTTGCACGTAGCCGAAGTTAACACAATTTTGGCGTAGTTTCGCAAGTCTACAAACGGGCGTCTCAAAACATCATTTTCAGTTTGTCGAAAAGTAGTTCCGGGTCGGTGGCATGTATGTTTTCTTATTTTGTGAACATGTCAATACATTTACATTACAAGGAGCTAAAAAAAACGAATGATCTAATTGATTTGAATTCATTAGACTGATTATTCGCAGAAACAGTACAATGATGCCTGGTTCACAATGAATGACTTGGGGAGTTCACAATACATTTCTATTGAAAACCTAGGGATGCCTATCTAACTAAACCGGAAGTAATCGGTTTTCAGCGTGGGGTCCTTTGCAGTGTTTGATACTGTCATATTTTCAGCGTAAAATTGCAATATTGTTGTGAATTGATTCCCGTTAATAGTGGCTGGGATAACGAATAATGAGTTCAGGCGAAGAAAGTCGAGGTCAAAAGCGATCAGTTGATGGAACAGAGGTGAGTAAAAGCATGACTGTGTCAGACGACGTTTATCGTCAAATCATTTCGCCATTATATGGAACCCATGCCATGTTTATTGTACTGTCCACAACCATGGAGGTAGACCTACCTCCATGATACAACCAAGGCTCTTTCCCCGAAATATAGATATCAATTTTGGAGATATTAGTATTAGAATTAGTATGCTTAACAGTGATTTATTTTTGACTCGTGATTTATAATAATAATTTATTGACACAACAACGATATAGTACAATACGGCAGTATGGCCACTAAATACAACTATTAACTACATTTAAAATAGGATTAACATATTTGGCGAAAGGTATCATAAGATGAGTATCCATAGCACTTAAAGGGGAACTAAATAGAGCCTATTTTGGTGTTTGTATTTATCAAGTTATGTATATTGATTATAAATTTGAAAAAAAAAAAAAAAAAATGATTATATTCAGAGTTATGATGATTTAAATATGAGAAACCATAAACCTGCAAAGGACTTACGTTTGCGCCATCTTGCCATAAAAAAACGCCCTCATGAGGTATAAACAGGAAAGGTAACAAAGCATGATGACGAAATAGTATCTGATTAAATATAAACAACTTAGGGAGCCTTAGTAGTCTAGGTTGTTTCGACTTTTACGTTAATGTTATTTACAGGTGTATCAACATACAAACATTATGGATGTGCGATTGATCGAGACAGGCATTTTGTTTTGTTTTTTGTCTGTCTAATAAGTGCTGTTTCCAGTACTGCACTGTGCGGCGTGCAAATTATTCAAAGTCTGGATGCTGGAGTATGCAATCTTGAGTTCGTAGGTGGAAACATTTTCGTCCATGTATTCACGGGGCTGCACTGGCAAATCATGGGACAATTGACAAAGGAACACCAAGCAGATTGTTCACAGAGTTCCGTATAATTTGAAATAAAACTATCAAGGGGCATCGTCGACGATATACTCTCATCACTCACTCACACTGAACTGATCTGAATCTTCACAGTATACCGTACTCTACACTGTAACTATCTTGCCAACAACGAAAAATAATCCAAAAAAATTATTCGTTCATCACGCCGGGCTCAAGGGAAAATAATACTTATTTTAAAGAAAAAAATTGCGTCATTGATTTCCCTGATACTTACAATTAAGAAACAAACTGTTCATAAAAAACACACACATTTTATTACAATACGAAAGAAGGGGTAGGGTCTATGGGGAAACAGACGAAGGCATTTATCATTATCTCTCGTTTTGGTATGTTTTCGATCATACGCAAACTGTCGACGTAAAGCAATTTTCTACCATGAGGTTTTTCAGCATGATTTGACCTGAAATAACTTCCTTTGACCTAACAGGTCATGTCTTTCATTAACCAATCAAAATGATGTGTCGTAACGCAATGCGGAAGTGAATTACCGCAATGTTAAAATGCGATCTGTATGTAGCGCTGATTGCTACGAAACAACGATGATTTTTTCCCTAAAAACTGGCGATTCGCAATTTCCGAAATATAAATGACGGTTAACTTAGTGTGGAGGAAGAATTTAAACATCTTTCACGGTCGCCATCATGTTATATCGTTCAAACCCTAGGCCTTTCATGATAGTCTCAAAGTAAACCATGCCCAATAACCAGGTACACGACTGAACGATTACATTTTTGGCTTTTCGAAAGCTACTACTATATGGATTACTCCAGTATTGCGACATTGGGGTTCATCCTGGGTAAATGACAGAATAGAAAGGATGCGAACCACGTTGTGTACGTTCGCCATGCACTCTGAAATTAATGCAAGTTGTCTCATAAAAGCACGAACCAAACTACCATGCCAATCACGATTATTATGAAATGAAACACACTTTTTACACGCATATTTTAAAGAATATCATCAACGTCCAGTAAAAACACTCTCGGCTTATAATCGTGAATTCCCTCAACTCGATAAATACCTGGTAAAAATAGAGGGATGGGCTTCATACTCGGGAGGGACTTACGATCGGGGAAGTACGGTACTTTAACGTAACTGGGCTTCCACTCTCAAAATACTGTGGTTCAAACACATAATGCTTCTAACCCGAGTTCTAAAAAGCACATTGTGCATATTAAAGTTGAGTTTATATT